GTGTGTGTATGTATATATGTATATATTAATACAAACATACACACAAACGCGCGCATATATATACATATATATATTATATTATGTATGTATGTGGAACGTTTTATACCGAGTGTTTTCATTTAAAATATTTCATGGATACATACATCCAATAAGATTATATCTTAAGTTGCGCGAAATACCTACTTATGTTAATTAGGGAGAAGACAGAGCATTAAAATATGCGGACTTAGCTGGGGACAAAAACAGGGATACTCCACCCCAGGTAGTTTTCTTGGAATAAGCTGAATCAGACAACACAGAGACGGCAGAAGAGCCTTCGCAATCCGGAGAGAAGAGTGTCAAGATAGCCATTGCAGAAGACCATACGACCGGTGAAGAGGATGCTAAAACTACAACAGATGCTAAAAATAGAACAAGTGGTTTGGGTGATAGGGCAGATGATAGCCACACCCCGGTACACAGTAGTCACACACACAGTAGCGTAGGGGAATGTTGCAGCACCACTCAGGCTGACTGGAAGAACTCTGCGTCTACTAACAGTCCCAACAAACGCAAGAGCAACGGACAGGACAGCAGCACCCACACCAACAAGGACGCCCCACCGCAGAGAGGTTAGGACTGGTGCGGGTGCAAGTGATAGTGATTGGCCTAGAGACCTTAGGAACCATAGTACCGAACTTTGGAGTAGAAAATAATGTCACGTGAGTGTGTGAGTAGAGATGGAGTGGGGTGGTGGGTAGAGACGGGTGGGGGTCTATTTAGAATAAAAATGCATAGATATAATATATCACAAAACTGGTAGGATCAGGTATGCTATGAATCGAAGACTGCAAAATTCGGTTACAAGGGTGTGAAATGCATAGTGGACTATCCGGAATGAGATATCGCTAACCTTAACGTATAGCCTCCAGTGGACAAAAACGAAGAATCAGTCTATATATTCGTACTGCTGTGCTCATCAAATTTTATTGGCGTTGATGCACATAAAGGATAAGCGCGCACAACGCGTTCACGACATACACGATGTTATTACAATCTATAGAACTCATACGACAATATTTATACATGTATAGAATTTCAGGTATATATCTAAGCATATATATAATTACACGGTGTTATTACAATCTATAGAACTCATACGACAATATTTTTGCTTGTATAGAATTTCAGGTATATATCTAAGCACTTATATATTTACACGGTGTTATTGCAATCTATAGAACTCATACGACAATATTTATGCATGTATAGAATTTCAGGTATATATTTAAGCATATATATATTTCCACGGTGTTATTACAAGCTATAGAACTAATACGACAATATTTTTACATGTATAGAATTTGTGGTATATATCTAAGCATATGTATATCATACATCGAAGTATACCTGTAGCATATATCAAATTTAAGCAAGATTCAAACTTGAGGATAAGTATTGAGCAGAAATTCACAGTGAAATGCAACTTCTTACGCCTGGAGAAGGAATTAATTGAAAGACGTATAATTGTGCAGACATACGTTAATTTATTTTCAGCAAAGCGTTTCAATTAAACATATATCAATATGCATACATTTGTATATGTATTTTTACTGAAATAATTATAACCTATACGCATTGATACGTTCATGACTATGTAAACACATATACATGTAAATGATTAAGCATAGCATACATGTGTATATTTTTACTTTTATTGAAAAATACACGACTTTGCATATATATACACATATATAT